GGGTATGCATCTCGTAACTCGAGCAATCTGGGGAAAAAATAGACAAACAAACAATCTGTTTTTCTTCTTCTTCTCTTATCTCAGTTTGAATAAATTAAAAACACTTTTGTTTTCTAGAATATTAACCTTTTAACCAAACTGAAAGAATTTTGGGTGCCTCATAATATGAGCAAACTAGAAGATAAATAGACAAATAAAAAAAGTCCTTTTTTTATTTACTTCAGTTTGAATACATTTTACAAATTTTTATCTTTGTATTTTCCAGTTAACACAAAGATTAGCTTGTTTCAGTTATAAGTATTCATTTTGTTTCTTTATGTTGACTGGCTTAGAGGTTAGAGTTTGTTTACATGAGTTAACAAGAATGTTGAATTACTTTGTTATTAGTTAACAAGGATATTAGTTGTCTTTGTTGTAGTTAACTAAGGTGTTAGTTGTCTTTGTTGTAGTTAACAAGGATATTAGTTGTTTTTGTTGTAGTTAACTAGGGTGTTAGTTGTATTTCTTTGTTTTTACTTAACAAGGATGTTAGGTATATATATTTGTTTTTAGTTAACAAGGATGTTAGTTATATATATTTGTTTTTAGTTAATAAGGATGTTTTTTTTATTTCTTTGTTTTTAGTTAACATGGATGTCAGTTGTATTTCTTTGTTTTTAGTGAACAAGGATGTTAGTTATATATATTTGTTTTTAGTTAATAAGGATGTTTTTTGTATTTCTTTGTTTTAAATTAACAAGGATGTTAATTGTGTTTCGTTGTTTTTCACTTTTGTAGACATGAGTTTAATTGTATCAGTTGACAAGGAGGTTAGTTTATATGATGTGGTTTGTGTACTTTTTTTCCTTCTGTTTTATTTTATTGTTCTTTATTTTAATACTGAAAGTATTTGAAAAGGGCATACTTGTTAAAAACCTGTATTAAAATGATTTCTAGTCAAATTTTATAATGAAGAAGTGAAACCTAATTTTGTGTCTGGTTGTTGACTTCAGTTTAATGACAACTCTATTGACACTTGGGAAGAATTAGAAGTCTTGAAGCTATTTCCTAACTTGGAAACAGTCTATCTGGAAAGAAACCCTGTAGCAGAAGACCCAATGTATCGTCGAAAGGTCATGATGATTGTTCCGTGGGTGAAGCAAATTGATGCTACCATGTGTCAGTAACATGTACAGTGTGTAAGTGCCTAACTTACAGCCTATTAGGGGTTTTGCCTAAACTTAAATTATTCTAATTATTTAGGGAGGGCTGAAAAGTAACCATAGTCAATTGATTTCTATTGACTACTATTAACATCACTGCATATGACAGCATATTATTACGAAGCTTTCACACAAATGTAGTTTTCCTAATTTTATTTTTGATCATTGGTATTACTACTATTGTTATTATTAAGACATTAAAAACCTTTATGCCTGAGCTACTTATATACTTATAAAATTTGGAATCTGAAAATGGGTAGGGGGGGGGTCTAAACTGGATGAGACCCCCTCACGGTGCCAGCCTTAATCTTAAATCATTGTTGGTGACTCTGAACCAGGACCAGGTTTTGAATAGTATGTGGATTAATGCTTTAGCTGCCAGATGTTGTTGAACCAGCACCCCAATTAACACTTAGAATAATGAGTGTTTTAGAATCAGGTATTAACTAATATCAGATTAACATTAACTCACAGGGGAATGTAAAACCATTTCTGACTAATATTCAGATTAATTAATGCTTTTCATATTATGTTTTGTAGAACAAAGTGTGAGCTAGTACATAGATTATATCTAGGTTACTTAAGGTTTGTAGAAACTTGTTCTTAGATATTGCAAGTATTTACACTCAGTCCATTTTATTAGCTACATAATGACTGTTGGTATTTGAAGTATATATGCTGCTGTGCCAAAATTATCAATTAATTCTTCATCATGTGACATTGCCCATGCAGCATAAGTGTTAAGGAATTAATGAATATGAATATATAGACACAAAACAAAGAATAGTAGCATACCATTTTGTGCATGGTGCAATATTATAATGAATTCGAAAGATAGCCTTCTGTTAGCTCTTGGAGGTGGAAGATTGGTGTATGAAATATTTACAATGTTTAATCATGCATCACCTACTGCCCATGAAACCATTGAATGATATCAGATTAGCCAGATGTGTTATAAGTTTTAAGAACATTTGTGTGTTTAGATTGTGATAATAAAGAATGAAAGAAACAGTCTTTACAACTCGTTTACAGTGAATAAAGCAGCCAGTGTGGCCATATGTGAATAAACAGCTTGTGTGAGGTCTGTATTGTGTGCTCTTCATAGATATAGATACTTGCCATATGTGAATAAACAGCTTGTGTGAGGTCTGTACTCTGTGCTTGTCATAGATATAGATACTTGCCATATGTGAATAAACAGCTTTTGTGAGGTCTGTATTGTGTGCTCTTCATAGATATAGATACTTGTCATATGTGAATAAACAGCTTGTGTGAGGTCTGTACTCTGTGCTCTTCATAGATATAGATACTTGTCATATGTGAATAAACAGCTTGTGTGAGGTCTGTATTGTGTGCTCTTCATAGATATAGATACTTGTCATATGTGAATAAACAGCTTCTGTGAGGTCTGTACTCTGTGCTCTTCATAGATATAGATACTTGTCATATGTGAATAAACAGCTTTTGTGAGATCTGTATTGTGTGCTCTTCATAGATATAGATACTAGTCATATGTGAGTAAACAGCTTCTGTGAGGTCTGTACTCTGTGCTCTTCATAGATACAGATACTTGTCACATGTGAATAAACAGCTTCTGTGAGATCTGTATCTGTGCTCTCATAGATACAGATACTTGTCACATGTGAATAAACAGCTTCTGTGAGATCTGTGCTCGTCATAGCTACAATACTAGTCATATGTGAATGAACATCTTGTTTGGAGTATATGTAGTATAAATATGTGTATTTTAGGAAGATCGGTATAAGCAAACTGCATATTATCCCAAAAGTGCTCAGGACCATTTTGTAAAGTCTATGAGCACTGGGAGTGCAAAGGTGGGTTTTTGATTCTCTATACTGATTAGAACTGCTTCACATAGTTTCAAAGTGCTGGGTTTGTGACCAGTTTAACTATGATTGTGTTATATCGAGTATATTAAAATTACATTGTGTGTTTTCTATGTCTTTGGTGTGGAATCTACCCTTGAAGTGGCTGAATACCCACAAATATCAAGAAATTCTGATGTTCACAATCTACTGTCCATGGCAGAATTGTTTATTGTGCTTAGTAGGTTAGTGTGTTGTTCCAGAAAAAAAATTATCTTCAATTTCAAAGTAAATGTAATTGTCTTGGTTTCTAATCTAAGCTCAAATTTGGAAACATCATTTTAGGTTCAATCAGGTTAGATTTCAGTTGTCCAGTTATTATCAACTAGTTAAGATTTTTAGGCCTCATTGAAGACAAGCTGTCAGCACACAGTTGAAGGTTGGATTTCAGTTGTCCAGTTGTTATCAACTAGTCAAGATTTTCAGGCTTCATTGAAGAGAGGTTGCCAGCACACAGTTGAAGGTTAGACTTTAGTTGTCCAGTTGTTATCAACTAGTCAAGATTTTCATGCCTCAGTGAAGACAAGTTGCCAGCACACAGTTGAAGGTTAGACTTTAGTTGTCCAGTTGTTATCAACTAGTCAAGATTTTCATGCCTCAGTGAAGACAAGTTGCCAGCACAAGTTCCACAGAATAGCAACAATTATTTAGGCAAGGTACTAATCTTCCCTGTAACATGTTAGAATACCATGCCAATTGCTATGGACCAGGCCCTCTTCTAAAATTGCTGTTTTTTTAACCACTCATCGGTGATAAGAACATTTTAACATTGGTCAAAGTAAAGAAGTTAAACCACATCATGATACAGATACATCTTAATGTAGCAAAAATTCTGGCTACATGCTTTGTAAATTATTTTGATAGGGCAGTATGGATTCTAAAGTGGATTTTCAAAATTTTAGTTAATATCTATTTGCAGCCAGTATATTTGAATACATCTGTTTCTTTATTTATTAACACTGTTTTTTTGTTAAGTTGTAGTTGAAGGCTAATATCCATATTATTGTAGTTTTATTAACATCTTTCTAATTTCCTCTATTTTAGGAATTCAAAACAAGATTTGAGGCTGTAGAGACAACTGACCAACTGTATAAGCTTACCTCTATGTTAGGAAATGATTGTTAAATTAAGTAATAATAATTTTCCACTAGTTTTTTTACTTTTAAAATGTAGAAGGTTGTGTATAGCCATGTAACATATAATCCTAATTGTGCTTATCAGTAGAATATAAAAACATTTGTCAACTAAATGCTAGAAAATCAAAAACGAAAAGTTAAGAAACTGGACTTATTATGGTGAGTAGGTTACTAAATTGCTTTTAAAATTTGCAAATTTTCGTTCTATTTTTTTCAGAAAGTAAGTGCTATTTTATTTTTTCATTTAACACTACTGGACTGATATTGTTTTAGCAGTAGTAGTTTGGAGAAGTTTTTGTTCAGGAAAGTTACACTTGTTGCTTCTGATAATATACGTCATAAAACCATAGAATTAACCATGTATTCAATTAGTGTATCAAGGGTTGCATGTTGGACATAATTACAGTACTTACCTTTATATATGCTTCTTAGTTGTCCTTGAAATATTTAACTACATCTGGATATTTCCGTTTGTAAAATATTACAAAATCAGATTTCATGTCATTAATAAATTTAAATTGTGAACCACATTGTTTTGTTTGCTCATTTTTTAAGTGGAAAAGCCATACAATGAATTATCTGACCTGTGTCCACCACAGGACTCATTCTCTGAATTTTAACATTATAAGCCCTCAAATTTACAAATGCCCCATCAGTTACGGTTGGGGGGGGGGTCATTATTTTATATTGTATTATTTTTGTATATTCTAAAACTATATAACAAATTCAGCTTCAATCTTCAAACAATTATCAATGTTTAGGGTCTGTTAGTAGATAATTGTACCGTTGAAATATAATTGTTTTGTATCAACTAATAAGGGACTTCAGCTTCTATCTTTAAACAATTATCAACCTATAAGGCAGTAGTTTCCAAACCTAAGGTTGTAGCAGGCTCTGGTGACGTCATCAGGTTGGAAAAAAAAGAAAAATCGTGTAGCGAACAAAGCTGAATTCGCCAGTTGAAATACGTTTTCGAATAGATGGGGTCATGCAGAATCGGAATGTCTGAAAAAGAGTCGTAACGGGAAAAAAAATAAAAGTTTGGGAACCACTACTATAAAGTCTGCAAGTAGATAGAAGTACAGTTCATCTGTGATTATGTTGTGTCAACGAAAAATAAAAGGACTGACAGTGTGTGTTGTTGTGTCAACGAAAAATAAAAGGACTAATATTGTGTGTTTCATCATATTCCTTGGATGGGGAACCGAACCTGAAAACCTAAATTACGAACAAGATAAAACTGGACTTGTAAACGGACATAATGTATGTCTTACTCAAAACTTGAATTTAAACCTTAAAACAAGAACATTTTTCTCCTTTTCTAATGGTAATCGTGAAGAGGTTTTCTTTACAATTTACTGCATTATGGCAACTAAATTACCTTTGGTCGTATTTCATTATTTCTGTGCTAGCACCACGAGGCTGGAAGAAATGGACATTTAAACACAGGTTCATGAAAACAAACTGTCCCTTGAATTTATTGGTTTAGTTTTCTACATGAAAATATTGAGTGTACAGTTATGCTAAAGCATAACGAGAATTCAAGATCTATTTAAAATTTACAATCTTATTAATTGAAATATATATATATATATATATAAAAACGAACCATTAGCATTGATATTTGTTAAGAATGATTTAATGAAATTATTAATACATGAAATTTTTGTATACATTATAAGGCACTATTGGTGTTGCCACCAAGATTTGTAAAATACACTGAACAAATTATCCTTTCAAATTTACAACAGTAACAACTAAAAACCCTTTTAAAATTCTTATTATGATACTCATTATGCAACTCAATACATACAGAAACTAGAAGTGCAAATGTGTATTTTCCCTGTGGATCCAGACTTCTGAGATACCCTGTAGAACGTTTGCACTAACAACACTACCAAAAGATCAGTACATAATATTATCTCACTTTCGTTTATCATTATGTTGGTCAAAATATCTAAGCACGTCGCACGAGGAAGTCTAAGATAAAAGAACAGGCTGATAGTCACTGTTAATTGTAGATATATAAAAACACGAACGATAAAGTTGTTCTTACTGCTTTGTACAAATTGTAAGGCACCAGTGGTGTTGCCAGTAAGATCTTAACACGCTGAACGATCATATAAACGAAATATACAAGAATAACAAACACTAACTAACGAGTACATCAGTATACAATACAAGGTCACCTATACAAATAGGACTTCTAGCAATTCAAGGTCATCAAATGTAAGTTTAACACGCCCATAAACGTGTAATATACGAAAAAAATTTTAGTAAAACTTCTGTTACTCTTAATGGTCATCAAATTCTATCACAGGGTGCTGTATAGTTAGTATTATTAGGTACAAATACAATTGAAATCAAATTAATTGTACTCTTGTTTCATAGTAATAGTTAGAAATTAAACTATATTCTAAATGAAACAAGTGTATAATCATGGCTGGAGACGCCTTGAATGGGTAATGAAGAAAAACTTTAATATAATGACAAAACCTTGTTGAAACGTTGTACATTTGCTGTTATGTTAAACTTGTATTAAAGTTTTCTCCATTACCCATTCAAGCCGTCTCCAGTCATTATTACTCTCAAAGTGGGTTCCTCGTCATCGAAAGTGTGTAATCACTTTTGCCATGCCCTGTATAATGCAAAAAATAAGATTTATAACTTACTTGAAACAAAAACTTACATTCTACATTTCATCGTCTTAAAAATTGAAAACACATATTTTGGTAATCCCGTGTATTTGTATCTCGCTATAAAGCATGAAGAGTACGTTTTCTTCGATCAAGACTACTACAAGGTGGGTAAAAAAGAATGGACCCCCCCCCCATTATTTAAAACTCATGTTAACAATTTAGTTTCTTGCGTTTTATAATGATATCGTACCTTTGCTACATGAAACAACTGACGCTTTGATACAAAACACTGTTGAAAATTATGCTGAGGAGGATGATGCAACGTGGAGACCTATTATCCTATATCATGAAAATGATGGTCAACAGACAGACATTTTGGATTATTAATCGATCTTTCTGTTAGTCTGTGTCAATACGTAAATATGCAATAAATTTTCTTCGTGTACACTATCTTTATTTGAGGGGTTGCCTAAGGGTTTTTGCCCACCTTGTACATCACAAGGCTAGCTGAAATGGTATTTAGGCTATGATTGGCCGATAGACAATTATGTCAATGCCTGGCTACTTTGAATGCATGAAATGCGAGAATGGACAGATGCGCAGGTCTCATGTTGGCAACTGTTAAACTTTTTAATTAAATACAACACTTGCACTAATAATAATACGAAAAAAAATCATTACATAATATTATCTTACTTTCGTTGATCAGAATATCTAAGTAAGTCGCACCAGGAAATCTAAGACGAAAGAACAGGTTGATGGTTACGAACAGATTTAAATTTTATAAAATGTTACGTTGTGTTAAAGATTGCAAAAAAATACATAATTCGCGGAAAAGTGAGCATCTACCGATTTCATTATCGTACAATTTAAACATATTCTTGAAAGCTGTTTTCATGTCTTTTTCCTTTATTACCTTTCTCTACTTTTCAATGGAAGCTTCAAGTTTTCTTAGTAAAAGGCAAACGAAAACTGAACCGGAAGCAATAACAGTTTTTGTCATTTTATTTCAAGTGTTTTACCAAGGATGCATGGTACACGAGACGGCGCGTGACCATACGGTGACGTAACACGCCACAAGACTACAAGTCATGTAACATACGCAAAGAACAACCCTCGTAATTTAGTAGTCTTGATCTGCGGTCATGTTTCTCTATTTTCATAACAGCACCATGAGGAAGAGTTGGAGAAACACTCGTTAAACTAGTTTCGTAAATAAAACTGAACGTGAAAGCATAAAATATCACTGCTAATTGTAGATATATAAAAACAGCTTTGTACAAATTGTAAGGCACCAGTGGTGTTGCCACTACGATCTTAACACGCTGAACGATCATACCTGTTTCAAATATAACAAACTCTGACTAACATGCACATCAGTATATAATACAAGACCACTGATACAAATAGGACTTCTGGCAAGTCTTAAGGCAGTCGAATCTAAGTTATGCCCATAAATGATATAGGAAAACACAGTGTTAATAAAACTTCCGTTACATTATATGGTCATCAAATGCTATCACAGGTTTGACAAAATGTGCAGTGTCACCACACAGGAAATATTGATGTTAACTCAGCGTGTATTACATTACCAAATCTTAACATAATGTTACGTATACATAACAGCGTGTCATAAAGAAGTTGGTAGTAGCGAAACGTCAATATTTAATTAAGGTCATTTGAAAAGACACATCTGAATGCATTAATTTGTTATATTGGAATATGTACATACATACACACACACACACACACACACACACATCCAATTATATATGTTGGTGTACAGCAAACTCCCATAATCAACAAACAATCGATAGGAACAGCACGCACACTGCTACTTCTTGGCGAGAAACCCCCAAGCCACAATACAACACTCCACCAATTAACACCTTCCACGAGCTAGATACCACCACCTGCTTACCCATACCTATAAATATCCACCAACAGTAATCACAATTCACACAACATTCAGCCTTGATAATGGATGCAGACATCGGTCTTGTTTAACAAAATCTGCCTATATATGCTGAAAACATGATTACGATATAAGGATTGTTTCTAAATTTCGCGAAAACTACACAAGGACTAACTATTTCTAGTCATTCCTAATTTTGAACTGCTAGATTAGAGCAGTGGTCCTCAAACTGGGTGCACGCCCTCTAGGGGGAAAGTTACCCCAGAAAGTATTTAGTGCTATTCTAATACCGTACTAACGGCCCTGAAGTACGGTGAAGGTTTCAGAGGACACGGGTCGCGAACCCTTTAACATCCGAGTACTCTAACCAGTATGTTACGTTCGGCCCAAAAAATTTACGGGAATCTACTGTCAGGCAGAGTAAGAATACTCGGTTTTGTCAATCACGGGAGACTACTGTCAGGCAGAGTAAGAATACTCGGTTTTGTCAATCACGGGAGACTACTGTCAGGCAGAGTAAGAATACTCGGTTTTGTCAATCACGGGAGACTACTGTCAGGCAGAGTAAGAATACTCGGTTTTGTCAATCACGGGAGACTACTGTCAGGCAGAGTAAGAATACTCGGTTTTGTCAATCACGGGAGACTACTGTCAGGCAGAGTAAGAATACTCGGTTTTGTCAATCACGGGAGACTACTGTCAGGCAGAGTAAGAATACTCGGTTTTGTCAAGAGTGAATTGTTCACTGGTACATAAATGAAATAATAATAATAAATAAGAACAAATCAACTTTTCTTTACTTCCTTTATCATTGACTGATATAGTAACCATCCCCTTAACACAAGCTACAACTGGCAAGGGATATCACTATGCACTCTACTTTCAACTTGAGATTTACAGACAATTTTATTTTGATAAGTAACATAAAATATCATAAAATTAATGGTGTTTCTGGGAACGTTTTACTGAAGGAGGGAGAAGTTAGGTGCTATCAAATATAAGAAAAAAAATAGTTGTTGTTTTTTGCCTTATTTTTTAATTATCAAAAAAGCCGAAATTAACTTGCAGTCTTTTTCACAGCTTTTGTTTCGAACTACAATTAAACTAACCCCTAGGTTTCATGTGATTGGAGCTACTTCTGATATGGTTTCAAACTACAATTAAACTTACCCCTACGTTTCACATCTGATTGGAGCTACTTCTGATATTGTTTCAAACTACAATTAAACTTACCCCTACGTTTCACATCTGATTGGAGCTACTTCTGATATTGTTTCAAACTACGATTAAACTTACCCCTACGTTTCATCTGATTGGAGCTACTTCTTTCGGTTTAAGTTATGTAATTTGACTACCCCATCCGTTAGAAAAATAACTTTCATATCAGTGGAAGTCACAATAGAAGGACTACCAGAGGTCACTAATGGGAGTCTTCCTCCCCACGTCGGTGACACGCCCCTGCACAACAAATGGATTTATTTCACACAAATCACTAATTCATTAGAAATCCGATGAGATGGATAATAGAGCATTTAAGGAATCAGACAACGTAAACATTTACGTTTAAAATACACGAGACTACTAGCAGAGTAGTATATAGCAAGTACTGCACTGTTATCTATGTTCAAAAATAATCTATAGGAGTTGAGAAAAGTTGCTGTATAGTTGGTATTATTTGGTTGGTACTAAAGAAAATCGTAAGAAGACAAAGTAAATGAAATTAATTATTTTCTGTCTCATAGTAATAGTTAGAAATTAAACTACGTTCTAAACGAAACAAGCGTATACTCATATTTGCCATACCCTGTATAATACAGAGGTTAGGATTTATAACTTCTTGAAATAAAAATGTATATTCTAAATTTCATCATAGAAATCGAAAACACCCATTTTCCTCCACTTTGTTTATATATATACAACATAAGAAATAGGAGGGTAATGTGATGAAGTGTAGACTTAATAAAACATATCTCCAATGTACAATAACGTATCATTCTGGAAGATTCTGTTTTAATGGGATGTATCAACCACTGGATACTGAAGAGCAAAAGTAAACTTGTACAAAATCGGTGATATCATGTTACCATGGTCTCCATACACATTCATTTTCTATCTCCTGTGGAGACGAACGGCGTCTGGCTAAAACAGGCATTCTGTCATTTAACGTTCTTGGTTGATCCCTGTTTAATTTTCTTGTATTGGACTGCATTCTGGTGAAATTAGCTTTCTGAGATAAGGATGAATATTTTGAACTTCGTTTCATACTGTTAAGTTCATCATAGAATGGTTTTGCATTTTCACACACTTTGAATAAGTTATAGTTCTCTGGGTTACTAAAGTTTGGAACGTTTCTGCAACTGTCAACGTGGCATTTAGGCTTAGGAGTATCATCAATATCTGAACTTTTCTGTTCTTGTATAGATAACGTTGGAGATTCAAAACATACTTCAGAACCCGACTCACTTCCTGATGGGCTATGACTGCTTACACTGGAACTCGCTGGGATATACGATTCGGTAAGCGTTTCTCTGCCCCGCAGACGTTCGATGCTGTTATCTTCTGAAGGGACCAGTAAGCTTAACTGTCGCTGGAGTGCTTGACTGGAAAGTATAAAGGCAAAGTCACCACTAAGGAGCCTGTTTGGGTTGAGTGGAAGTCTGTTGAAACGTTTCTCTATATCTGAAAGTCCCTGGGGAACACTGTTGTTGTTAACATCATGATCTTCTGTTAAAGTATTCAATCCACCAGGAATTTGAATACCAAGCGACTGTAAGTGGCTAAACACATACGATACTTGAGGAATATCCACTACTGGTCCCACATAGTTAAACGATGTAGCATTATTAAGACTGATCATACAACTTCCCAGGTGTCTAAGGAGACGTTGACGGAGAGCATGGTCCACGTCTTTTATCCGGCGAAGGTATCTTCTAACTTCACTAGCACAATCATTAAATCCAGATCGAAACTTCCTAAGGACAGCGGGATCGGTTGCCAAGGCAGCTGAAACATATTAGAAATATTAATTATTTACCTAACAGAACATAACATAAATAGAATAATAAATAGGCTTATATCTATGATTAAGTTCATGTAAACTACAGAAGTTTTATTTTTTTCCTCATTGGATCTATTTATTATATCTGCCACAAGTTACTGTCCAAGAATACTTTCGTTCAATACCAGAACTCCAAATTGAAATCCAAAATGGACAAATTAAGTGGAATGTGGGAAGAGGGAGTGGGTATCTGTAACTTACCAGGGGAATGTGGGAAGAGGGAGTGGGTATCTGTAACTTACAAGATTATTTTTAAATCACAAATGCGTAGCCAGCTTTTGGCATTTAAACTTTTAATACCTGCCACACGAGCCAACCCGACATTTTGATGTGGATCCAAACAAACGAGTCATTCCAGAAAGGTTTGAGTTGTTTTGATTACACAAAGAAAATATGTTTGGCACTATTTTCGAGGTCTAAGTCACTGAACCAGACCCGTGACCATGAGAGCCAACAAGAAGTTATCTTGTAAATGTAAAGTAAAACGATGTAGCAATGAAACATGCTTGAAATGTTCTGGATATGATTGTGCATGTGATGGATTAATTGTAGCAATTAAACTAAACCGTGGGTCCAGGTCGGATGAGGGAATAACTTATTCGAAGATATCCCAATCTATTTGAAATACCAGTTGAATCGGAGATTCTTCAACTGATTACTGCATTGACAGCGAAACATAAAACAATGGCCACAACAGTTATCGTTATCTTCAAAAACGGGGGATTGGAATCATATATAAGAAATCATTAGTTTCAATATTTTGTTAAACTAACGGCACAGTAAAGCCCAAAGCTGCAGTGTTGTAGTTGAATCACATACACGATACATTACAAGATGACTTCCCTAGAGATTCTCACATTAAAACTGCCATTTCTGCAATAAACAGTAAATACAAGAAGGATGGTACAATGTCCAGTATGGTACCACCATAGTATAATCCATATAGATTTCATCATGTCATATTTTCATTAATATTCAGTTTTTGTTGTTTTAGAAGTTGTGCTGAGCTTCATTCATCAAGATCTATCGAAATAACCCTAAATCACCGGTTTCCGGAATGACCCTCCCTGTTGACCATGCTAGGCTCAGTACTGAAATATGCTGGGCTGGCTCGTGTGGCAGATATTAATAATAAACGCTTCTCACTTTGGATCCAATGAATTTTGCCAGAACACTGCCGAGAGGTTAGCCAAAATAAGCTAGAAAATAGTGCTCAACTGAATTATAACAATTAAAAATTATTCTATATAGTAAAGCTTCATTAAATGTAACTGACTACGTTAAAAAAAAGTGCTTAGCTAAACTGTAATCCATAGAATGGATGGCCGGACAGTTCGCTACTGAACGTTTCGTTACTTGAGTATTTCGCTACCTGATAATTTTATGTTATAATCTTCCTTACATATCTTATTTAAGGTCATAAAATAAAAATTTTCGTCAGTATTAGTTCATTAGACAAACACTCCAGCCAGTAAAATATCGGTAAATATTTCTTCAATGTTAGTTTCTTAGAGAAACACTCTTTCAAAATAAAAAAGGCTCTTATGTTCTAAACCATTTTATTTAAAATGAAAGATCTAACTTTTTAAAAATGAATCAGGCTTAATGAATCAGCCATAATGACTTACTTATACGTAGCTGCAACAGGTAGCGAAATGTCATAGAATGGAGTCTGTACATTATTTCACATATAATTAACATCTCGTAATTACGCAGTCACGGTGGTTTAATTACATAGAAACATCAATTCTAAAATCTACTAATAATATAATATTTACAAAGAACGTGACAATAAAACCAATTATTATGTATACAGCAACAAACCTGTCATGTGTTGTCTTTGTAAACTTTGTAAATAACGAACTGTTAACTCCAGGACGTCTGCTTTCTCCAACTTTGAACGCCTGGCGGGCTGAAATAAATAAAAATATGTTTAACATAATTTATATAGCGAAAAAAAGTGTAAATTAGAGACGCATTGAAACAAGAAAAATCATGGTTTGGGTAGGCGACTAATTAACAAGAATATTAGTATAAACTTATGTGATGGCTTGGTTCAGTAACTTTTAGATAAAAGCTTACTTTTTGAACGAGTAACTTGGTAAAAAAAATATAAGGAATCAGTTTGCTTTACAGACAAGCAAGTAATTGTACAGAATATCTGAGAAGTCTGGAACCATAGGCGATTTGCAACTTTTCTCAATTTCAGAGCTTGGTTAAATGACACCTCCCAGGATATTGGATTGTCAGACATGGTCCTCAGGAAAGCCCCCCCCCCCTCCAAGATTTCCAGACTTGATTCCCACAGATTTCTTTTTTTCTGGGGGTTGCTCAAGGCACGTGTGTATAAAGAAAACATAGGGGACACCGAACATCTGAAATAACGAATTCGTGACGAATGTCGGACCATTGACATGAACATACTTCGTAGTGTTCAAAGAGAATACAAGTACCATCCCCAAACTTGTTCCGAATTACGAGAGCAGCATGCGAAACACATTCTGTAATATTCGTTTAAAAGCCTATGATTACAGACTTTTCGGACACACTGTACATCTAGCAAGTAATAAAACCTTTATTAAGGCACGAAGACAGTTGAAAATATGAAGGTTTATAGCTTTATCACTGACCGACAATTTTTTTAACGTAGTTAGCGACAAAAATCTTAACTGATTTAAAAATACATTAAAATATATGGGGTGACAGTTTGTTAACGAAAAAGAAATATTGATATTTTTACTATCGAGCATCTTGCTTTGAATATTGTGTTAGGACGACATTTTGGAACATTTGTATCTTGAATAAGAAATACACAAGTGTCCCGAAACGTCATCAAAACATAATATTCAAAGCAAGATGACTGATAGTAAAAAAAAACTTTCTGATTATGCCATGCTCTTTTTCGAATCTCTTTCTTCAAACAAATACATTAGTAAAAATACGATTTACATATTAATTCAATGCCCAACAATCAACTTTAGACGTAAAACGTGACAGCAAATTTCCGAAAACTTCAGCTTCTCTCGAGCAGCTGAAGGTTTGTGAAATTGTCGATTTCCTTCGTTAACATTGGCAGTAAATATATTACTGTACAAAGAAATTAGGAAAAATGTAAATGAGATATTAATTCACAGACCAACATACAACTCTGTATGTAATACATGATAGAATCATCATTAAAAATACTGGACAGCTTTATGAATGTTCACTAAAACTCACATCTCTGTTTAAAGCTTCTGATACAAGTTTTTTCAGCTCTTCTAAAGACTGGTTGAAACGTGCCCGTCTCCTCTTCTCTACGAGGGGTTTTGCGGCCTGTAAAAATAACAGAAGGTGAAATTCAAAACATTTAGAAGCTTTGTAGGTTTACTTAATATGGTAAGTTGAGGATAGAACAGAAGAGTAAAGATGAAATGGTTAAAAAATATAAAAAAATATTGTTGACTTCCTTTGAAGATTGTTTTTAAACATTCCTTTCCCGTAGTTACCAACCATACAGAAATTCATGAATGTTTGATACATCTCGTTAAAATGCTGGATTCGGTGGTTGTTACGCCACCAACCATACAGAAATGCATGAATGTTTGATACATCTCGTTAAAATGCTGGATTCGGTGGTTGTTACGCCACCAACCATACAAAAATTCATGAATGTTTGATACATTTCGTTAAGATGCTGGATTCGGTGGTTATTACGCCACCAACCATACAGAAATTCATGAATGTTTGATACATCTCGTTAAAATGCTGGATTCGGTGGTTGTTACGCCACCAACCATACAGAAATTCATGAATGTTTGATACATCTCGTTAAAATGCTGGATTCGGTGGTTGTTACGCCAGTGGTTCCGATATTATGTAATATGTAAAATACAGAAAACAGGAAATGAGTTCCATCATATGTACATATGCATGGTCAAAGGCTGTATGTGGGTCAATTAAAAATGTATTATTTACAGTGAATTTACAGTAACTGTATTGATTCACACGAGTCATAAATGATGAAAATTTAATGCACTTTTATATGTCTAGTTGATGGTTTAATTCACCATCTTAAATACAATATGAAACGTACGAATAGAAATTTACGTAAAGATACAGCGATTCACGTCCAGCCTTAACCTCTCACCAGGCATATACATACTGTTGCGTCAGCAGTCACATGAATACAGTGACGCAACGTTTCTAGAATTATCATGTACTTTGGCGAATGCTCTAGTATTTACTAGTAGGGTACGCTGGTATATAAAAGATGGGAATGTAATGTGTGGGTAGA